TTATAAAATAAAAAATTACGGGATGCTTTGTTAGCTTCAAACGAATCCAGCAGAGCACCCCAGTTTTTTTTTAAACCACACCACATTTTTTGGCTCCTACAATATTATAAAATATTCGAAATTTGACATTTTTAAAAAAAATTCGCAATTCCCTGACTTCAAAGTTTTTTTTCTGAAAACAAATATACTTACCACATTTTTAGGATTTTAAAACAGCCTAAACATGTGTCATAAGTAGTTGTTTTTATATATTAAAAAACTGAAGTGTCCTGCTGACTTTGTTCCAACAAAGCCCCTGTATTATTTAAAAATAGCAATTTTTTTAGTAAAGTTTTACAATATTTCAAGAGTCTAAAAATGGGGTGTGGTTTTTAGAAAAAAGCTTTAAAAAACCGAATTGCTCTGCTGGCTTCTTTCGAAGGTTAGCAAGCACCATGTATTTTTTAAAAATATAATATTTCAAGTGCATAAATATATATAAAAACTTTATAAAACAGAGGTGCTTTGCTGACTTCGTTCGAAGCTATCAGAGCATTTTAAGTTTTGCATAAAACGAGGAGCATAAAATTTTTGAAAAGGGTATAAAAATAGCCTAAAAATATGGCATGTTTTAACTCAAAATTTCATAGGTGCTCTGCAGCATTCTTTGGTATCATAATTATTACTAGGTTCACTAACAAAATCTATTTCTAGATTATTTTAACACTTGCTGCGATTACAAAAAATGTCTCTTTATGTCAAAATTAGAAAAAAAATATTTATAAGAATAAAGGGCCTTATACACTGTTTATTATATGTGATATAAAAACAAAAAAGCATAATAAATATTACAAACCTTGAGATTCAACATATCCTAAGCATTGTGCACTAAAAAACAGCCACATCATAAGGTTTTTGCTGTACTTTATGTTTAGGTGTAATTTGTCTCCTTCTCTCTTATGGAAAAAGTAAATATCTCCATATTCTTGCTTGGCAGATCTAAAAATAAAACCTGAGATAAATATGTTTTACTATAAAGTGTACTGCTTCATATAAACTGTAACTACCTACCATTAAAACAATTTATAAATAAAGTTTTACCTTTCTATCTTTTGGAAACTGAGTATTGTTAAAAAATGCAGTAATCATCTCGGTAATCATATTTTCGTTTACAATGGGAAAAATACTTGATTCAACTTTTATAAATACAGCTGATAAATTCATATTCTTCTTCCTTTATATATCCTATATCCCACAGGATAATTTACCCAGATAAATGCAGATTAATAATAAAATTAAACCAAAACAAAAAACTAAGGTTAGTTGTTAGGTGCTGTCAATTTTTAAATGTCACTTAGATGTGCGTTCACTTCGACATTCTGTATGTAGGTTTGTTCGTTGGCTTGGTTTTGTAAAACAAAAAAAACTTCGACACAAGCTGATTGGTCTATTCCCGATGACGTATAATTTCAAATTTTAAATTTCAATTGGGCTTAATTTAAAAACTTTTAGCTTTTTTAACGAACTGATTATTTAGAATAACTTGTATAGCGACTAACTATTACAATATAGTTTATAAAACAGCATATCTCACATGTGAACATGGCCCATTTTCCCGATTTCTGGAAAATGGAGCAACTTTATTAAAAAAAAAAAAAATACATTCGAAAAGTAGACACTCTAAGCTTTAAAATGGTGAGCATTGAATAACAATATAATGAAATATGAGTTTTTAATTAATGCTTGTTTCAAAGATTTCTAGAACTCCGAAAACATGAAAAATGCAAATAAACAAATCAATTTTGTTTTAAAACGCCAGAAAGATACTGGAAAAAAATTTCTGAGATCATTCGAGACATGTCAAGATCCCATTTAAAACAAAAATGGGATAAAAAACTATTAAAAGAAAAAAAATATGAATGAATTACTATAAAGTGGTCCAAAATAGTAGGAAAACGCAACTTTGACCCCTTTTTCAATGTTCTTGACAGAAAATAACGGGCTTCAAGGCATATGGATCGATACCTATGGGTTTTCCCATTGTAATGAACTTTGAATCATCAAAAAATATCAATTTTTGATCGAGTTCTCAAACAATTTGTCCACTCGTTTACAAGCTTATACAGATAAAGCAGGGGCTGAACGAGGGGACTTTTGATTGCGGTTATCTCGAAACCTGTCGAATTCCCGACAAAAATGATAGGGACTATTTTTGTAGATACTGATAAGATCTTTCTTTTTTATCTAAACAAAAATTTGCATATTGTGGAAGATATTGGCGGGAAACCAGTTTTAGGGTCCATTTTGGGCCCTTTCCGACGCAGCAGAGTTGGTAAAAGTTTTCGACCTTGAAAGTGACCGCCGACACCTAAGAGTTGAGCCACAACGGAAATCTGGACCGACTTAATGACAGGTTGGTCCCTTCAGTTACTGGATTAAAAGTATTGAATTACAGAATTAACACTATATTGGGGAAACATTTTCGAACATGATTACCCTGAATAACCTTTTGACGTTTAATCCGAGAACAACGATCAAGGAGAAGCGACAGTAGCTGTCGGTGCCTTTGATATCGGATGTACCTTTTTCACAGCATGACTTTGATTGATACACAACTTAGCACGCTGAGAAAACATGCTTATTTTCTACACTGAGCGAAATAGTTTGGCAAATTATCTGAAATCATTGTTATAGTCCATGCGCAAATGTTGTAATGTGATTTAATTACATTGAAGTAGTTAGGGTTAATAGCAATGGTGAAATTTCGGCACCAAAATATAATTCATTATGTAATAATTAATTATTTATTATAAAAGTAAAAGACGTTTATTATTTTATAATTTATCTATAAAATTTGTTCAATATTTGGTTTATATATTGTTAAAAATGTAATAAAAGTCCCATATTTAAATTAAATTACCTTTTCCATAAGTAAAAATAAGGTAAATAAAATTAAGTGTGTCAAAAAAAATTTAGGTAACAATTAAAAAGACATTAAGTTTGAGATATTTAACTAAATATATGTGCTTATATTTTCAAAAACTTTTAGGTTTAAAAAGTAGTTACATATTTTTAGAATTTCTGGATTTATTTTATATTAAAAGGACTTTCAAGTTTATCACTCATTTCTGTATAAACACAAGTGTTTTCTCGCCAAGTTAAGCCAGATGTCATTTAAGGTTTATGTATTTAGAGTTAAATACCAGGCTTGGCTATCACCCAGACAATACAAATATGTCCATTGGACGTCCATTCGATATACAATTTTGGATGTCTAGACGTCCAAGAATGAGTTTTTTCTGGACTTCCAACATCCAATAGACGTCCAGTGAAGTATACAAATGGAACACTTTTAACCATTCACTATTCATTGTAATTTTTTACTTTTACATGTTAATTTAGAATATTTTATTAATTTTTTTGAAGAAGACATTTTTTTAGTATTATCATATTATATAGCGGAATTAAATAATATTTCTACAATATTCTATATTGAAATGCCTTCTGTTTTTGTATAGATATTATAGTTCAAACGGTGTAGTACTGGTCAAAGGACACTATCGAATATTCTGTGATCATGTTCCTGACACATGGCCTTTATTAATATGGTAAAAGGCCAGCAATTTCCCGTTAACTTCCCATCAATAGGCCATTAATTGCCAAAATATTTATTAAAGGGGAAATGAAGGCCCATTAATTGGTTATGATAGCAAAGTGACTTCGGCCCGACTGTCGGCCGTAGTGACCTATATATGCCGGCCTTTTAATTAAAAAAGTCAAATGGCCATCAATGTAATTGGAGGGTTACAGTTATTAGGCCTTTACTTCCCCTACACAAAATGTTTGTTAAGGCTATACACCATTTATTTTTTTTAATTAAAAATCGATTGACCTGAGCAGGCATCGAACTGACGACACATCCATTATCGTTTTACCCTTTCAATCGCTAGACGAGCTCGACCAAGGAACCACTTGAAAACTTTTTACTAGATACAGTTATAATTGAATAAGATTTCAAACTTCCGATGATAGAATGAAATGCAATAGATTCAATTTGTCAATTTTTAATGACCAGTTATATTAAAAAAAGAAGTATATTAGATGGGTATTATCTGGTAGGCTTAATAAATAATGACCTAAGATGGACGTCCACTGGACGTCAAAATACTACTAAACTTAAAATGAAGTCCAAAAACAGACGTCCTCTGGGTATCGATATTCAGCTGTCAATTTATTTAGCATAAACGGACATACACTGGATGCCCGGATATGGACGTCCTGACCCTCAAATAGATCTAAAGTGGACGTACATTGGACTATGTGTGCTGTCTGGGCATAGACGAATTTTTTGAAATAGTACTTATTTAAGTATGCACCAATATTTCCAAAATCAACTCCAGTATGATTCATTCAATAAATGTAAATATGAATGGGCAAAACATCTTTATATTGACATAATTGTACCTTACAATTTAGCCATAATAAAGGGATTTCGCCCATTTTGACCAATCCTAATTGAAACACGCGGATTTATTATATTTTTTTAAACATAATTTCACAATAAAATAAACAAAATCTCCAGTTCATTGTTTATTAAATTTATTTAAAAGAAGAAAACATATATTTCACAAAATACAATACCTACATATGAAAAATAAAATGTCAAAAATGATTAAATCATTATACTTAATATTTATGCATGTGATAAAATTCTCAGTTTCCTAGTAACTTTTTTGGCACATTTTATATCTGCATTAGAATACCTAAGTGTGTAAAAATCTTCATCTTATTACTACACAAAACAAACACCAAAAAATATCATTTAACATTGCTCACGTACTAAACACAACTTGGACTGACTTTGACAGATAACATCATTTTGAGTGATACACAACTTATTTTCGCACATGCTCGTTACAAAACGGTACACTAAAAACACCAAGCTGTCGCTTCTCCTTGATCGTTATTCTCGGGTTTAATCCCATAGTTAGTACTTTTAACTAAGTAAATTTACATTTTAGGGCCTTCAAAGCAATGAAGCAATTCCCCGAGATACCTCCAATCAAAAGATGTCACAATTATGTAATTAATACGAAGTATACATATAAATGTACGGATTGTGGTTATAGGTATATTTATAAAAAGAAAATTGTAATAAAATATTATATAACATTTTTTTTTTTTTAGTATTGGACGCCATTCAAAATCGCTAGACATAGAAAGAAAACGATGCGGATATTGTTACGGAAAATTCGAAATTTTGATAAACAAAACCAACAAAAACGGAGAAACCAAAGCCGTAGCTGCGACTCCTAAAAAAGAACCGACCGGTTTTGCGATATTCGTCAAAGAAAATTACAGCGTGCATAAAAATCCGCTAATCAAACACGGTGAAGTTATGAAGGTTCTCGGTAGGAAATTCAAAGAGTTGCAAGCGACTAAAATATGATGCAATATGGTGAATTTTGGTTTTTAAAGATGAACTTTTATTTTGTACAGATTTTTTTGACTGCAAAAAAGTGAAATATAGTACAATTTTTTTTGCAAGCGTGCCAATAACAGAAATGTCATTTGACCCTATATGGATAAGAAAAGTAGACTCTAAGTCAAATGTGTCAAATCTAAACAAAGAAAACAATTGTTATATTAATATTATGTAACTGTTCTATGTTTAAATTATTATAAACCAAATTATTTTTTTAAAATTGATGAAATTCATCGAAATCTTGTTTGGAGAAAAATTTTAAACAGAGACAAAACTGTGGACTGTGTTTCCGATATAATTGTCATTATGTTACTAGGTATGAAAATATTGTATGAGTAAAAGAAGAAGGGGGTATATTCGAGAAATATCATTCCATGTCAAGAAAAATCTGGACAATTCGAGACTATAAGTCGATGATCCGGACAATGACTAGGGCTAAAAAATAATCGATTAATCTATAATTTTCGATAATTTGACAATTTTATGTAAATCGAATATTCAATTAATCGCTTATTTTCGGTTTAACGATTAATCGCGAGATCGAATAGTTTCCATTAATCGATTATTTTGGATTAATCAATTATTTTAGATTAATCTGCTTTCAAATAATTGAATATTTTCGATTAATTGATAATTTTAGATTAATCAATGTTTTTGAGTAATTGAATGTTTTCGATAAATTGACTACGATCAATCTAATATTTATTAAAACGATTAATTTCGGTTGAACGCTTAATCAAGAAATCAAAGATTTTTTCGAATAATCGATTTTTTAAATTAATCGATTTTTTTTTCGAATAATCGATTTTTTCGAATAATCGATTATTTTCGATTAATCGATTGTTTTTGAAGAATCGATTTTTTCGATTACTTTCGATTAATCGATTGTTTTTAAGCAATCAATTTTTTTCAGTTAATCGATTATTTTCGATCAGGCGATTATTTTCGATTGACCCACTAGTTTTTTCCAGTTACTTATTAATAAGGTAATTGAATCGAGTATTCGATTATTTTTGAATAGTCGATTATTTTAAATTAATCGATGTTTTGAGTAATTGATTATTTTCCGTTAATCGATTATTTTCACTAAATAAATTATTTTTCAGTATTCGATTAATCGATTATCTTTGAAAAATCGATAATTTTAAAATAATCGATTTTTTAGAATAACGTTTTTTAAAATTAATCGATTTTTTCGAATCGATTATTTTCGATCAATAGAATATTCAATTAATCGATTAATCGAGACATTATATTAATTATATTACATTAATATCGAATCATCAAAATAGTGGATTTTCAAGTATTCGATTAATCGTTTATTTTCGATCAATCAACTATTTAACTAATCAAGAGATCGATAATTTTTCATTAATCATTTATTTTCCATTGATCGCTATGAAATTTATAATTTCCGAATAATCGGATTATCTATTATTAAAATAATCGATAAATCGATATTTAATCGATTTTGAATTCTTTATTCGATTGTTATTCATTTATCGATTATTTTCCAATTACATTAGGTAATTTAACGATCGATTTATTATATCGAATTATTAAAATAAATAATCGATTATTCTAGATTAATCAATTTTCAATTAATTAATTATTTGGTGGGCGTACAAGGAAAGTCAATTTTTTGCAAGTACGTGGTGTAATAACTGAAGCGAATAAGTCTTCTAGGTATTGTTCATCTTTTATTAAAAAAAATCAAGACATCCATAACTACGGTCAATTCAATAATAATAAACTAGGATTAAGTGTAAGCCCACGATTTTTTAATCGATTTATTCGATTATTTCTAATTCATCGATTAATCAATTATTTTTAATTCATCGATTAATCGATTATTTTTAATTCATCGATCATTTTCAATTCATCGATCATTTTCAATTCATCGATTATTGTCAATTTATCGACTAATTTAAATTAATCGTTTATTTCAAATTAATCGACTATTTTAAATTAATCGATTGTTTTAAACTAATCGAATATTTTCATTTAGTCAACTATTTTAAAGTAATCGGTTATTTTAAATTAATCGATTATTTCCAAGTATCGATTTTTTAATCGATTATATTCGATTAATCGATTATTTCTAATTCATCGATTTATCTATTATTTCAAACTCATCGATTAATCGAATATTTTCAATTAATCGATTATTTTTAATTCATCGATTACCTTCAATTAATCGATTATTTCCAAGTAACGATTTTTTAATCGATTATTTCTAATCGATTATTTTCATTTAGTCGACTATTTTAAATTAATCGATTATTTTAAATTAATTGATTATTTCCAAGTAACAATTTTTTAATCGATTATATTCGATTAATCGATTATTTCTAATTTATCGATTAATCGATTATTTTCAATTAATTGATTATTTCTAATTTATCGATTAATTGATTATTTTAAACTCGTCGATTAATCGATTATTTTCAATTCATCGATTATTTTTAATTTATCGATTATTTTCAATTCATCGATTATTTTAAATTGATAAATTATTTCAAATTAATCGATTATTTTCAATTAATCGATTGTTTTAAATTATTCAATTGTTTTCATTTAATTGACTATTTTAAATTAATCGATTATTTTAAATTAATTGATTATTTCCAAGTAATCGAATATTTTCAATTAATCGATTAATCAAATATTCGATTGATTATTTTCGATTAATCGAATATTTAATTAATCTATTATCGATAAATAAGGACGGTTTTCTTTCCATTATTCAGTTATTTTCAATTAATCATTGTTTGAAAAAATCGATTATTTTCGAATAATCGTTGACTTATTAATTCGGATTATGCACCGATAATATATAATTTTTATTCTAATATTCGATTGTTAATATTTTATCGATTATTAGTAAATATCTAATTCAATTATATATTAATAAGGTAATAAACGATCTAATATCAAATTACCGATAAGGCTCCAATCCGATTTTCAAAATAAATAATCGATTGAATATTAAAAATAATCGATTGTTTTAAATAATATTTACTAATTATCGATAAATAATAGAATATAAGATTAAAAATTAATTAAATAATATACGACATTCGATTGTTTGGACATAATTAATTTAACAGAAAATAATCTATTTTGAAAACAAGTGAATAATGTAAAATAATCGTTAACTTTATTAATCGAAAATAATCGACTAATTAAATATTCGATTAATTGAAAATAATTGATTAATTGTAAAAACAATCAAAACTAATCGATTAATCTAAAATAATCTATTAATCGAAAACAATCGATTAATCGAGAAAATCAATTAATCAAAAATAATGGATTATTTTAAATTAATTAAAAATAATTATTAAACATTAATCGAAAATAATTGATTATTTTCGAATAATCCATTTTCTGAATAATTGATTAGTTAAAATTAAGTGATTAATGGAAAATAATCGATTTCATTAATCGATTTATTGAATATTCGATTAATTGCAAAAATAATCGATTAATCGAAAATAATCGATTAATCGAATATTTTAAATTAATTGAAAATAATCAATTATTGTTTCGATAACTTGATTATTTTTAAATAATCTATTTTCTGAATAATTTATTAGTTGAAAATTAATGATAAATGAAAAATAATAGATCTCTTTTTTAATCGATTAATCACAAATAATATATTGTAACACGAGTGTGGATTGAAACTATTTATTTAATTAAAATACAAAAATAACTATCCAAACGCGTAAACTATTTACAATTATTACTATTTACAATTGAAACGTTGATCCGCCACGCGCTGACCGGCTTTCTATCTTCCACTCCCAATTGACAGTGTCCTATCATCAATAATCCATGGTAGGCACTTCCATGACCGTTCTCGATCATTCTTCACACTTTCTCCCCGTTTCTGTCAGCCTGCCCGATTGTAGGTTGGGTTTCCTGTCACCTTGACGGTTCGTTGTCTCGTACTGTTGTGGCAAACCCTGGCACTGTCTCGTCCGTAGAGACAAACCGTTACAATATTAATCGAAAATGATCGATTAATCGAGAATAATCAATTAATCGAAAATATTCGATTATTTTAAATTAATTGAACATAATTATTTTAGAATTAGCGAAAATAATCAATTATTTTCGATTACTTGATTATATTCAATTAATCGATAATATAATCGATTTTTCTAAAACAAATTCGAATAATCGATTATTTTGCCCATCCTTAATAATGGCACCCTTATTAATGACATAATTTGAATATTTTGAATCGCTTGAAAGAAATATTATTGATAAGGTATTCTTGTTATTTAAGTACAAAAATGCAGATCTCATATAAAAATATAAATATTCGTGTTTTTTGATAATTTTATTATTATTATTATTATTTTAAATTATTTGTATGTTTTAGTTAGAATATAATATGTATTTTGAATATAACTGTTCTTATACGATGACAAATTATTTAATTTGTATGTTTTAGACCGAATATAATAAATTTTGACTATTTAAATTATTGTATTTTGCTTTGTGACTACCCAATTTTACAGTTTGAACAATGTAACATTTTAAAATTCCTTTTAAAAATGTTATTTTAATTGTGTGACATCCTGTATAAAATAGTATTCAATTAATTTAGGCAATATGACTCGGAGATGGAAATTTATCTGACTCACATACTACACTTATAATAGTGTTATTTTAAATACTGACTCTTTTTAATTTATTCTAGCGCCATTATTCTTGCTATGTCTAATAAGTTCTTTTTGGCTTCTCACTAACAGTACATCATCTGTTAAGAGTAAGATTATAGGCCTTTTTGACTGACCCTTAAGCCCACTCTTAGCGGTAACCACGAGTTGTATAGAGGGGCCCAATTTGTATTTAAATTGGCCTCTAGACAACACACGGCTAGGGGGTTAAGTTCAGATGGAACCCTAACTTCCTGACGATGATTCAGAGCGGCGATGAAAGGGTTTGCCCTACAGGGACTATTCCCTTTGGCAGTATCTCTCTCTTTCTCTCTCAGAGATCTGACTAAGCCAGTACCACCGCCTTTGAATTATCATGAGGTTTCATAAACTAAAAAAATCTGATGTGTCCAACACATGACTTTCCTATCTAGTTATTACAGGCTTTTTTCGGTTATTTTGTACAACCTATTGCAGCATCTCTATAAATGTTTAGAGGATAAACTAAATATATACATTGTCCACATACATCTACCTCGAAACATTTTTCTATAGATATTCATTGAAAACGAAAATACTGAAAAATTTAAATTTAGCACTTTTCCATTACGGTCCATTTTAGAAAAATCATGTATAAACAAAAATTAAGACCAGTAGATAGGCATGAACTAGTGCAAACCATAAACAACATCCAAAATAAATTTTCCTGTGGAATTGATGGCCTGTCCACCAAAATATTTCTAAATATACAGGATGTAGTAATCAACATTTTAACTTCACTGATTAATGAATCCTTTGAAATTGGTCTCTTTCCTAACTGTCTAAAAACAGCTATAATAATCCCACTTCATAAAGGTGGCGACAAAACCAAAACCTGTAACTATAGACCTATCGCGTTATTGCCTACCTTATCGAAGATAGTAGAACGGCTAATGAAAAACCGTCTTTTGCCCTTTCTTTTCAAGCATAACATCCTCACAGCTCATCAGTATGGCTTTCTACCTAAAAAATGCACTAGCGACGCAATGTTTTCCGTTCTTAATGAAATATA